TAAACCCCCAAACCCTAAACCCCCTAAACCCCTAAACCCCTAAACCCCAAACCCCCAAATCCCTAAACCCCGAAAAACCCTAAACCCCTAACCCCTAAGCCCCTAAACCCCTACACCCTAAACCCCAAAGCCGTTAAACCCCACACCCCAAAACCCTAAACCAACACAGCGGCTGAGGCCCAGCTGAAGATCACGATGCGCCACCTGGAGGAGGTGCAGCTACTCTCTAGAAAGCAACATTTCATGTGGCTTCAGGGTTTAGGACCTATAGGGTCCTTTCAAGGGATCTACAATGGGGTTTGGGGTTAGGGGTTTTAGGGCTTAGGGGTTTATTTGGGGTTTAGGGTCTTTAGGGGCCTTTTAGGTGAATTTAATAAGGGCGCGGTACGGGTGTAGGGTTTAAGGTTAATGATGATGGGGTTGTGGTTCTCAGGGGTTCGGGGCATAAGTGCGGGTGAGCAGTTTGGAGGGCTTGAACAAATACGATGGATGATATAAAGTTGCAGTATCCCCAATACGTAACCTCCCATAATTCCCATAGTCTAGGGTCCTTAAGGTAATGCAGGGTTTATATCATCAACAGTATTTACAACTTGAATACATTGCACCAGCCCGGCCGAGCCCAACATGCCTAATTGATGCCCCAAACCCTAAAAACCTAAAGCCCTAAACATCCCTAAACCCTTCATGTGACGGCCAGGCAAGGTTTTGATTGCCGTTTCGAGTAAGCACCTTAGCCTGGCAGCAACAACCCTTGAGCTCCTTTGGGGTTTGGGGTTCTCGTTTAGGGTTTAGAGGTTTAGGGTTTAGGGTTTAGGGCTTAGAGGTTTAGGGTTTAGGTTTCAGGGTTGAGGTGAAATGGGTTTAGGCTTGTTCAGCAATTTCACGCATCAAAGACGTCATCTTGACATGGGAAGCTTATTGATCTTTCCTTAATTTTGCGACCTTTCGTCACCAGCCATTGGATAATTTAATCCTAAATCGTAAACCCTATTGTTGCCTGCTAGATTCCTGTTAGCTAACAACCCAGTACGCTATTGTGTGGAAAGGCCTACTGTTTCATGTAAAGTGCGCCGTGTTGAAATCTGACGCTTGATGGTTCGGGCTAAACCCAAAAAAACCTAAACCTTCCTTAAACCCCCCAAAAAACCCTACCACCGTCTATAGCCGTGAGCAGATTCTGGCATTTGCTTCGACGGCCAATGTACCCAAATGGACATACTTTGGCCTTGAAGTAGTCCCTCTTTGGGTACTTTGGGGCCAAAGCATCTGCTATTTGGGCACATGGACCCTTAGGGTAAACCCTAAACCCCTAAACCCCCAAACCCTAAACCCTAAACCCTAAAACTTTTAGGGTTGCTTTAAAAAACCCCTAAACCCCTAAACCCTAAACCCTATAAGCCCTAAACCCTTTCGGTTACATGGACCCTTAGGGGTTTTCTTCGAAGGCCAACGCAGCTGTCCGCCGGGGCGAGCGCCTTCCGGAGGCCTTTTTGGTTACACGGCTTTGGGGTTTTATAGGGTTTTATAGGGGTTTTATAGGGTTTAATAGAGTTTATAGGGGTTTATGGGGTTTCTAGGGTTTATAGGGCTTATAGCGTTTAGGGATTTTTAGGGTTTAGGGTATTTAGGGACTTTTTTGGGGCTTAGGGTCTAGGGATGTTACACAATGTTTAGGGTTTAGGGCTTATTAGGGCTTATAGGGCTTTGGGTGTAGGGATGTTTAGGGTTTAGGGCTTAGGGTTTAGGGATGTTTAGGGTTTAGGGCTTAGGGTTTAGGGATGTTTAGGGTTTAGGGTTTGGGTTTAGGGTCTGGGGATGTTTAGGGTTCAGGGCTTAGGGTCTAGGGATGTTTAGGGTTTAGGGTATTGGATTCATATAGGTGTCGGAATGGTTGGTAATAGTATCCACTCAATGTTCCTTATCTCGATCGTTGTTACTTAGCACAATATACCCCAAGACACTGTAAAACAACAAGGTATCGTGGTCGTGCACGTAAGGGTTACGAATAAGGTTTTCTTGGGTCTCCAGGATTGTGTGCCTGTTGGTTCAATTGTTCTCGTGTAACTCTTTTAGTAATGGTAGTTGCCAGGCGCTCTGGGGTAAGCAACTGCCTAGACCCTTAGATGTAGTATCTTTTACTGGGTGACTTATTCCATGGTTCGGATCCTATAATAAGAAACTAAGGTAGCCTATAGAAGGAACTACAACTAAGGGTCTAGGTACACTAAGCCATAGTGAAAAAAAAGGGGCGTGGTCTTGGGGATGTTCGTGGGCATCATGTCGTTTGGGGTTTAGTAGGAATGCTGGGTCTATCTCATACCTCCTGGGTGAACGATTTCCATAGACGGGTCTCTCCTTTACCGAAACTCCCCAGCTTTTATGCTAGATTCGGGCTTAGTCGTTTGGGGTTAAGGGTCAGGGGTTACGGGTTCAGCCTTTTCTGGAACCTTGCCCAGTCTAGGTACACCGCACGAATGGGTGTAGGTTGACAAAGGCATCCCGGACCCTAGAACACGACAAAATCTTCTCCCAACCTTTTTCATACCATGCCTGCAGTCAAGCTCCCATTGGAATCGTTGAGGCCCCTATACTACACCTATATCTATATATCTATATATCTGTGTATATATATATACACATACAGATATACACATACATATACATATACATATATATATATACATACATACATACATTTATGTATATACACATACGTATGTATGTATATAGACCCTATTATTACAAGCTAGGCCTTAAACTCATGCCCAAGCCCCTATTCATTATTCTAACTATGCAGCCCTGTACCAAACCCTTATAAGTCAAAAAACCAAACTCGAAGCCGTAATTCCTAAACTCCATAAGCCCTAAGATTGAGGCCCTAAACCCGCATCACCCTAAACCCGCCCAAACCGCGATGCTTAGAAACCCTAAACCCTTAACCGTTAGCTCCTCGTAGCGAAGATGCACCCAAGCTCTACACGGCTGCAGGTCCCGAAAGCAGACCCGAATCGAGTCAGAGGCTTAGTGGCGTCAGGGTACCCCGGGGAACCCAATAACAACCCCTCAATTCAGGAATATACCTTAAATCATAATCATAAGGCCCTTAAAATTCTAGGTATCTTCCTTAGTTCAGGTGTATTGTGTTCTCTGGGTAGAAGGTTTTAGCGTCTGGGGTTGAACTCAAATCTGAGTTCGAGCTGCAAGCATGATCTCTTAACCCTGAAGCCCTAAATCCTCAATCCTGGATCGGGTATTCTAGGGCTGCTGCGGGGTTTGGGCTTGCATTTCTTCGGTACTGTTAGGCTCAGGGATTGGGTGCTACTGAGACTGGGGAGTTCGTCGAAGATTGTTTATTTTGTGCTTATAGGGTTCAGGGTTCAGGGTTTAGGGTTTCTAAGGTCTTATTTTGGGCTTAGGATTCAGGGTTTAGGGTTCAGGGTTTAGGGCTTATGAGGTCGTGTCTGCAGCTCTTTGTTGAGGGATGAGCCCTGGAGGGTCTTGAGTTCGTGATCATGGAGCTGAGGTCCCTTTCTTCTCGCTATCTAAGCCCAAAGGGTAAAGGGTTTAGGGTTATCACTATCTAAGACCCCCAAAGGTAGGTAAAAGACTGGCCCCAAAAACTTGCAAAATGTGATGATTCGACAGACTTTTTGGTTGAAGACTTACCATACTGAAACCCTAAACCTTAGACCTTGCTCAAAAACCCTGCTTCCAGTCATTGAGGCGCAAACCGTTACAGCCAAGGTCAGTCCCCTCGTAGATGTCTGCGAGAGGCTGGCGGAACAGTCACCCCTCGTTGAGCACTTCTGCTTTTTGTTTAGGGTTCAGGGGGTCCCGGGTCCGGGGTTTCGCGCCTGAAAGGAGATTAATACGTTTTGATTAGGGTTCAGGGGCCCGGGGTTCGGGGCTTAGGGCCTGAAAGGCAATCACAGGCTTGACTGTTAGAGTCTAGTTGCGGTCATCTGTTGATGTGCGCAAGAGGGGGTCCTCCGGCGTCTGACAAGTTCTTCCCATGAGATTTTAGAGGGAACCATCGGGCTGACGATGTCGGAAGTTTAGGGTTTCAAGGACCCCTATTGTAGCATCCTATAGTACCCTTTAAGGGGAACCCTTTTTTGGAATCCTAAAGTACCCCTTTAAAGGGAACCCTTTTTAGAATCCTATAGTAACCTTTTAGGGGAACCCTTTTTTAGAATCCTATAGTGCCCCTTTAAAGGGAACCCTATTCTAGAATCCTTAGTACTTAGGTCTTTGGGTTCAGGGTTTTGGATTCTCTTAGAACTTAGGCTTTTGGGCTTAGGAACTCGGGCTCAGGGTCGCCCCTCCTCCCTAAACTCCACAGCTTCTTCTGCTCTCTGAACTGGTTTAAGGTTTAGGGTTCAGGGTGTTTAGGGTTTAGGGCTCTGAACCCCGATCCCATCCCTGTTTTTGGAGGAGAGGGGCTCTTTCTGTTGAGCTCCATGGCATCACACACGTGTGTGACTCTGCAGCTTGAAGCCTACCTGACCAAAAGCAGCTTGAATAGAAGCCCGTATATGTATATATATATATATATACACATATAGATATATAGATATAGACCGATATATACATATATATATATGCGAAGCTTTGTAGACGCCCCGGATCCCCTTGCAGGAGCCCAATATATAGCAACCCCAGCGGGTCTCGGGCTTCGAAGGCAAAGGCACCGAAGCCACTGTTTTGGTGCCCGAGTTCATTCCGGGGGTTTTAGGGTTTAGGGTTTAGGGTTTAGGAGCAGGGTAGTGAAGAATTTAAGTGTACAGAACATCGTACAGCTCACGCGCCATGACCACCTACCCACAGCACGATGTCTACGTGGAAGACGAGGATGGTGCATTATCCGAAATGCCGTTCAATGCGCCCGGGATGCAATCGAAATTCGCAACTCTCAGCGATTCTCGCCACCCTAAACCCTCAACCCTGAACCTCTCATCTTTCAGTTCATGTTCGGGGGCTGGTCATCTGGGCTTTAATATCCCTGAACCTTTGGGTTGCACGAAGTCCCGAACCCTGTCACCTCAAACACCGAAGTCCAAGCCTAAAGCTTCGCAGTAGAAGACTCCACGAGCGCCCAAAGGCTGTGAGGACCTGCACGCTCTAATCTACCCAAACAGGCCCAAAATAGGACAAGTACGGTTGATGATAGAAATCTTGCATGACCCATAACAAGGAACATAATTGGACTTATGGTATAATTGTATAATATACCATAATTCCCATAGTTTAGGGTCCTTAAGGTAATGCAATGATTTATATCATCAACAGTAGGACAAGTACCCAGACCTTCCAATATTCCTTGATTGAGGAATAGACCTTTCATCATACTTGGGACCCTACTATAACTGAGAGAACCCAATACACCTTAATTAAGGAACATACCTCAAATTATAGGGGCCTTTTTATTATGATTTAAGGTACATTCCTTAATTAAGGGGTATTGGGTGCTCTGGGAACTCAAGTTATATCCAGAAACCCTACACCCTAATCCTTCATCGATGAAGGGGCTTTGGAATATCTGGGGGGTAGCTGCAATCAAAGGCTGGAAGTACATGTGCGTCTAGGCCTTGAAAGAGGATTAAAGGGGACCCTTGTCGGTACACATAGGGTTTATACTAGGTATACATCTGTATATAGTAAGTTGGGTATATCATAGGGTATATGCCCTAAACCGTAATCCCTAATCGGCACAGAAGGATCCCAGGGTTAGGGGGCCATTACTACGGTTGATGATAGAAATCCTGCATGACCCACAGTAAGGAATATACCATAATTCCCATAGTTTATAGGCTCCTTAAGGTAGTGCAGGGTCTATATCATCAACAGTAGTGGCCCATGGTTTTAACATTAGCTTTCATCTCAGCCCGGGAAGCTGGACATGGTAAGCGCAGTGAAGCTCAGCCCCTAATGCAATTTCGCCTGACACACCGCGGTTTGGGTGTTTTTTGTTTTTTTTAGGGTTTAGGGGCTTAGGGTTTTTGCGATTTAGGGTTTCGGTTTTTGGTTTTAAAGTTTAGGGGCAAACCCGAAGCCCCAGGAGAGTTGAGCCTTCACAACTCCCCGTCCCCTGAATTTTAAGCCGAAAGAAACCTTGAACCCTAATTGAGGTTTGAGGCTTTAGGGCTTGTACCGATTAGTAGGCCCGGAAACTCTCAAGGCTTCCGCCTGTTGACCTCCTTTCAGGCTCCTGTAACTTCAGGGCCTCTGAAGTAGAGTTCGTTTGAGGTCTGCTGTTGAGGGCTCCTTCTAAAGGCACCGTTTAGAGGAGGTTCCAGTTAGGGTTCCTTTAAGGGCTTCTTTTGAGGGTTCCCTTTAGGGTTCCTTGACAGGAACCCGAAAACGCTTGCATGATCTTTTGGGGTCCTACAGTTTAGGGTGTAGGGTTTAGGTTTGAGGGTTTAGGATGGTTTACGGTTTAGTGTTTAGAGGCGGTTGATGATAATACATCCTGCATGACCCATATTAAGGAACAGACCATACTTCCCATAGTTTAGGGTCCTTAAGGTAGCGCAGGATTCATATCATCATCAACAGTAAGGTTGCGCACGCCCTGGTGCGCCTGGGCTGGCACACCGCTTGGTCGGCTGCACTTCGAGCGGAGGAGGTCCGCCAAAGGGATTCCTTCAACAGGGAGATCTATGCATTTAGGGTTTTAGGTCTTCAGGCTGAATGGGTTCAGGGTTTAGGCTGCAACTAGGGAAAAATATATATATATATGTGTGTGTGTGTGTATATGTCCCTAGATAGACAGCTCTTGTGGTCTGAACTCCCAAGCCCTTGGCCGTCTTCCTAAGCCCTAAAAACCCCCAAGCCCTAAAGCCCTAAACCCCAAAACCCCTAAGCCCTAAAACCTCAAAGAACTAAACCCTAAAGCCCTTAACCCCCAAAGCCCCAACTGAACTCTACTTGGGGGATCAAGGGACTTAGGAAGTTCACGAGTACTTTGATTGGCGCTGCAAGTGTTTATTGGTAAAGTTACCTTATCTATCACCCTGGTTACTACGCAACATGATCCTTTAAGTAATCCCAAACGGTCCATCAAAGGAACCCCTGAAGTTACTTAGCCCCATGATCTCTAAACCCTAAACCGTGAACCCTAAACCCTAAACCCCAAATTCGTTGAGTACACCTCTATGAACCCTCAAGGCGGCTTTCCAGGAAGCCGGTGAGGAGTTTGCCAAGCGCAAGCAGCTGGGCCAGCACGGCGGTTTAGGGGTTTGGGGGTTTAGAGTTTAGGGGTTTAGGTTTGGGGTTTAGGGTTCAGGGGATTAGAGGTTTGGGGTTTAGGGTTTTGGATCCGTGCCCCTTTCTTGAGGGGAGGGCTCCAAGGGTTCAACTTTTTTTCCAGCCTGGGGATGTAAGGAGTTTGCGCTTCTTTTCCGCATGAGCTTTTTCGTTCGGGCGGTTTCCGAGTTTTAAGGGCTTGAGGTGTGAGCCTTTTTTCTTGTTGTCCAGGGCGGAGACTTGCCCAGAGAGCTCATTGGGGTGTCTAGGGTTTACGCCCAAACCCGAAACCAGATCTCTTATGGAGACCGTAAACATTGCGACGCCCAGTCATACAAGGGTAAGACTGTCGGGTTTTAGGGTTGAGTGAGCCAGACCCCAAGCCAGAATCCATCGACTTTAAATGAACTTCGTGCCTCAACACCTGCAACAACCGCCTTCATTCATTGATCCCTTTTGCCCAAAGCCCTGCGCGCACCGTCACATACCCAAAGCCCAAAAACCGGTGCAGAACCCTGATGATCCCCTTGCACAACTTTTACACAAGAACTGCGGCAAACACGAGCTTGTTCAGAGTGCTTACGGCTTTCGGCTTACGGCTTTCGGCGGCCCCTCAGCAAAGATGACAGCCCGAACCTCTTCCTCCAGTTGTTCCCCCTGCTTGTCAAGAGAGCCCGCAAGCTAAACCCTAAACCCTGAGCCATAATATAGGGGCCTCAGTACTTACCAACACTATAAGTATCGTATCATATACTAATAAGGCCCCCATACCAACACTATATCGCATAGTATATCCCTAAACCCCAATCAAATCAAATCTTAGAAGGCCCCTATAAAAGAAACCCTGTAAGCCAGGCAGGATCACAAGATAATATATCCCAAAACCCTAACCAAATTAATAAGGCCCCTATACTAGCCCTGTAACTAAGGCAGGATCACAATATAATTATCGTTTAATAGATCCCAAAACCCTAATCAATTTAGCCAGCCCCCTGTATTACCCCTGTAAGCAAGGCAGGATCAGAAGATAATATATCCCAAAACCCTAACCAATTTACGAAGACCCGTAAACACGTGTAAGCCAGGCAGGACCACAAGAAGCTGGGGAAAGAGGCCAAGGAGGCTTGGCAAGCTTTGGCCCTGCCTTGGGCCAGCGGACCCCGTGGCGGCCGGGAGGGTGGCGAGTTTGTGTTTCTTGGCCTGGGGTTTAGGGTTTCGGGTTTAGGGTTTAGGATTTAGGGTTAAACCCTAAGCTCCAAATGACAGACACCAGGTAGTAGATGTTGATAATGATTTGGTCATTCAGGGTCGGCACCGCAACCACCGCCACGGCCACTGCCACCGCCAGCGCCTCCACTCCAATCGAGGTCATCGTCAGCATCATAATCATCATCAGCAGCAGCAGCAACAATTGTCATCGCCATCGTCGTCGTCATCATCATCATCATCAACATCATCTTCTTCTTCAGCAGCAACAACATCATCACCGCCATCATCACCATCACCATCATCATCATCACCACCATCATCATCACTATCACCATCATTATCGCCGTCATCATTCGATGCGTCCATCAGTATCAACTGTTGCATGAGCTACAAGTCGCTCTAGGTAGTGGGTATATACAGCTTCGCCACCATCACCGACTCCTTTTTGCAGCAGTGATCGTCATGTGAATGTCTGGTCTCAGAAGGCTTCATTCCAAATGGAAATATTAGGTACACCCTAAACATCCCTAAACCCTAAATAGCCGAACAGCTCTGAACGACGGATTCTACTGATTTCTTCGGATTTTCCATGGCAGAAGCTGAGGTCACAGGTGCAAAACCTGGCGAAGTCTGCAGCAGACCACTGCGTGGCCATGAGGATCTACAAGGAAGACTCTGGCAAAAGCACAGCCAAGCTACACGAGCCGGCCAAAGAGGCGTATTCTCAGTTTGAGACGGCTACCCAGGTTCCATTCAGGTTCCTTTTTTTTTCCAGTCGGTTCTACCAGGTTCCATTCAGGTTCCTTTTTTTTTTCAAGTCGGTTCTCTGACGCATTGAGGTGCCAGGATCCGTCGCATTGTCACTCGCGGGTTTGTGGTTTTTGAAGATGATGACCCGCATATGGGAACCCTTTGAGGAGCCCCTTCCTGCCCTCGCTTGTTGAACCCTCCAACCCAAACCCCAAACCCTCTAGTTCCCCTTTTTTAGTAGCCCCGGCAGCAGCAACGACCGTCAGAGCACCCTACGGTTGATGATATACAAGCAAGACCCATAAAAAGGAACATACCATAAATTCCCATAGTTTAGGGTCCTTAAGGTAGTGTAGGATTTCTATCATCAACAAGTAACTAGTAGCCCTGATACTAAACCCCAAGCGGGAAACTGAGGCCAGTCGTGTACTGGAAGAAATGCACGCCGTGCTGGCCCATGCCCTGTACAAGCGCATCGTCGAGTTGCTTTGGGCTGTCAGCTGGCACCTTGGTGGCTTCAGGTTCAGCGGTGCAGGCACCAAGGTGCGCGTCCTTCTGCAGTAGGGCTGACCTTTAGTCCTTGTGGGCCTCTAGCATCGTAGCACCTTCAACGCATGACCCTCTTGTGGCCAGGGATCTCAGCATTGTCGGCGGAACAGTAATAGGGGAGAAGCTATGCTTGGCCATGTCGTTGAAGAGTCAATTCTGAATAAGCCCTAAACCTCACCCTTGGCCTCTGCAAAGCATCGACTCAGGCATGTTGCCAACACGGTGGCTGCCAAGCGGGAAGAGCAGGAGGAGGAAGAGGAAGAGAAGGAGGATGATGCAGAGGAGGACGAGGAGGAAGGTGAGGATGAAGAGGACGAAGAGGAAGACGAGGAAGACGAGGAGTGCTTGGTGTAACACAGCATCGTCAAATCCCTGTCTTTGCAAGCTGTAGTTGTACGTATTATAACAACACAGGTACACACGACATCCTGAAGGGTTCTTCGGCTCTTCTTATGACCCCACTATGCCTGCGCCTAAACCCAAACCCTTAAACCCTAAACCCTTAAACCCTAAACCCTAAACCCTACCTTTAGCCTTGTGCAGTGCATTCTACAGCAGCTCGCGTAGGCCCTGAAGCGTTTGCCTGAAGCCTTGGGCGTTGAAGGACACGCCCCTGAAGTAAAACCTGCACCAAGACGATAAAATCAAGGATGATCAGGGGAACAAACTGTGAGGGAGGGAGAGAGAGAGAGAGAGAGATATATATATATAATCCACCCGCACACGCGTGCCCGTCTTGTATACTTGAACTTGACATACACATGCACAATAATCCCAGGCACTGCCCAGAGTTGATCAGCTTGCAGGAAGCACTCTTCGGAAAGGATTATCCGGGCTCCTCGGATGATCCCATTGAGGACATGCGAGGCCAGACGGGGCAAGGGGTATGGGTTTAGGGTTTAGGGAGTTAGAGCGAGTTCAGGACAGGACTTGGGTTCCCAGGTTCTAGATTCTAAGCTTCAGGGTTTTTTTTGGTGCATCTTAGGCTCAAAAAATCATGGCCAACAAGATCAATGATCCCAAATCCTTGCCCTCCAAATCCATGATCTTAGAGGTGCACGTAGCTACATGGTATGTACAGTAAATTCGGCTTCAACGGGTTCCTATATTCAGTAATACATGCTGTCGTGAGAATGATGCGTGTACCCTTAGTCCCTAAGCCCTAAAACCCCTAAACCCCACAGCCGGATGTGGAGAAAGGGCCATTGCACTTTAAAAA